CCATGAAAGGGGGTGGAACCATATCTGCAAGACAAAGACCCCAGAAGGTTATAAAAAGTGAAGACTTTGCATGTTACTTCACACTGATTTGGAAATTATTCCTGAAGTCCACTAGTGCTAATAAACAGGGTCCCTCTCTTTCTCTAGGAAGTGTGCTTGGTATTTCTTTGCTCTTCTGTAACATAATAAATACTAGAGGCCTGATGCACAAAATTCATGCAAGAATAGGCCTTCCTTCTCCCAGCTGCCAGCACTGGCTTCCCTTACAGCACTTGGACCCGAGCTTCCTTCGAAGCCCCAGCTTCATCCAGAAGGTCATCCGGAAGGACACCCAGTCTAATTAGCATATTATGCTTTTATTATTATAGACTAGAGGCCCGGTGCACAAAAATTTGTGCACTCGGTGGGGAAGGGGGAGTCCCTCAGCCCGACATGTGCCCTCTCCCAGTCTGGGAACCCTCAGGAGATAACGACCTGCTGGCTTAGGCCTGCTCCTGGGTGGCAGAGGGCAGGCCCAATCCCTAAGTGCAGCCCCTGGTCGGGCTCAGAGCAGGGCTGATTGGGGAGTTGGGCACCGCCTTCTGTCATGCACACAGCAGGGCGGATCGGGAGGTTGCGATGCCACCCTCAGTCACGCTCAGGGTAGGGCCGATTGGGAGGTTGGGGCACCGCCCCATGTCACACTCAAGGCAGGGTCGATGGGCAGGTTGCGGAGCCACCCCCTGTCACTCACAGAGCAGGGCCAATCAGGGGGTTGGGGCGCTGCCCCCTGTCACGCACAGAGCAGGGCCCATCACGGGGGTTGGGGCTCCGTACCCTGTCATGCACAGAGCAGGGCCAATCAGGGGGTTGGGGCGCTGCCCCCTGTCACGCACAGAGCAGGGCCCATCACGGGGGTTGGGGCTCCGTACCCTGTCATGCACAGAGCAGGGCCAATCAGGGGGTTGGGGCGCTGCCCCCTGTCACGCACAGAGCAGGGCCCATCACGGGGGTTGGGGCTCCGTACCCTGTCATGCACAGAGCAGGGCCAATCAGGGGGTTGGGGCGCTGCCCCCTGTCACGCACAGAGCAGGGCCCATCACGGGGGTTGGGGCTCCGTACCCTGTCATGCACAGAGCAGGGCCAATCAGGGGGTTGGGGCGCTGCCCCCTGTCACGCACAGAGCAGGGCCCATCACGGGGGTTGGGGCTCCGTACCCTGTCATGCACAGAGCAGGGCCAATCAGGGGGTTGGGGCGCTGCCCCCTGTCACGCACAGAGCAGGGCCCATCACGGGGGTTGGGGCTCCGTACCCTGTCATGCACAGAGCAGGGCCAATCAGGGGGTTGGGGCGCTGCCCCCTGTCACGCACAGAGCAGGGCCCATCACGGGGGTTGGGGCTCCGTACCCTGTCATGCACAGAGCAGGGCCAATCAGGGGGTTGGGGCGCTGCCCCCTGTCACGCACAGAGCAGGGCCCATCACGGGGGTTGGGGCTCCGTACCCTGTCATGCACAGAGCAGGGCCAATCAGGGGGTTGGGGCGCTGCCCCCTGTCACGCACAGAGCAGGGCCCATCACGGGGGTTGGGGCTCCGTACCCTGTCATGCACAGAGCAGGGCCAATCAGGGGGTTGGG